GTCCTGATGTGCGCCTTCAGGTGGGATGATTTGCCGTACACCCTGTCACACCCGTCGAAAGTACAGGGGTGACGCTTGGTGGGGGACCGGGGTGCGCCCCCTCCTCCCCAAATCTGCTGAGGGGTGTTATTGTACTGTCCCGGGACAGGGGTGGCAGAGGGGGTCATGGTCGGCGTTGGGGTGGTGGAGTCTGACAACGTGGTGTAGCCGCTCTCTCCGCACGACGAGTTGCTGCTTTCGGAGTAGGCCGACATGGGACGAAACTTGCCATGCAGGTCGGTGAGGATCTCCGCCACCGTCATCATGTTGGCCCCCTCTAACCGGAGCGTCTCCCGCACCTCCCTGTCCTCGCTCGACCCGTCCGGCTCCGCGGCAGGAAGGCCCTGAGGAGGGGCCTGAGCCGCACCAGACACCGGGGTGGGTCGATGGAGGACGGGACCGCTGGATATCGACACCAGACACTCGGCGGCCAGATAATCCGAGTAGGCGAACGACATTTTAACGTGACTGCGTTTAACGGCAAAGCAAAAGTTATGATGGGGAGCCTCGTTTCCTGAGCCCGTTCGGTTCTTCTCCAAAGACTTTCAACTCGTTGTTTTGTTCTCATCAGCAGCGGCCTCTGCTATCTATATACAGTAAATACAAGCAAAACAAATGAAATAAAAGATTTAAAAAATATCAAAAAAGAAGTTAAAAAAAATAATAATACGCTACCGGCGTGTCTGCGTTTCGAGCCCCAACGTGGTGTCCTACATTGCCCCTCGTTTCATTGTGTCTGCTGCTAGAACCGGCAAAGCCCACGCCACGCCCCCGGCAGCAAGTTTAGTAATCACACTACGAAGAAGGCTTAGTTCATGAATATTAATTACGACGGATTGGCTGAAGGGCAGACGTGGGAAAGTAGGCGGTGCTCAGAAGGCGAATAAACGAATCACGACGAGCTCATGAATATTAATTAAGATGCGTGACCGGACGCTCCAGAAAGGTTACCAAGCAACTTAATTGATATTCATAATACTCTGATTTTGCCATAGTGCGATTCGTAATTTCGCCAGTCGCCAGCATGCACCGCGTGGCGAACTGACGCGCACTACGGGCGTGGACCAAAGAGAGACCATTTAATAGTAAGCCAAATGGAAAAAAAAAATCTCATCAGAGTAGTTTCCTTCGAAACCTTTGTGGAGTGAAAGATATGACTGGAATAATAACATAACTAAATTACTCAAATGAATTCTTATCAGTTGGTGACGTCATAGTCTAAATGAAGAAGTGGAAGGCGGCGTCTTCTTCATTTGGATACTTATTATGCTCATAGGAACCTAATCTACAAGACAAGCCAGTTTACACCTAGTTGTGCTTATTTCACGGAATTCAATGTTTGGTCTGTTTCTTGTTTTTTTTTTAAATCTATTTTCTTTTCAGTTTACGCCAAAGATGGGGGCTGGTCACGACACGCCCCATTTACACTCATTCATCTCTCATGAAGTTGCACTCTAATCCTAAAATATAAATCCTCCAATTTTCTGCAGTTTCCATACAACATCCACTTTCCGTAAACTGGTGCACAATGAACTTCTCAGTAGATTAGACCAAGGTCATCAATACAGGCCTTTAATCGTTCCTCCAAAGACCAGATGGAGTCTGGCGTCGGAGTATTTTACAGAGAGCAATAAACCATACAAAACACAGCAAGCTCACGCAATATACAGTCACTGAAGATAAAGTAGGGCAACCTAAAAGCTCCAACAGACGCTGTGAAAGTGTGAATCATGCATGATGGCCTCCGCCCTTTTTTTTCTTTTTGTCCAACATTCTTCTTAAAGGTGCAGTGAAAAAAAAGGTAGTGCTGTGGTGAAATGAAAGGAATAATGGAATATAGTATTAGTAGGTCAGTGAATGGTTGAATGGTGCATAGTTACTTTATGTGTATGTGTGTTGTGTGTGTTATGTATGGTGTGTAAGACACCATGAACACCACACACACATACACACATGTTGGGTTCACAATATTAGAAACCATTACAAAACAATATTCTATTAAAAATGTATAATATCTAAAACTTTGCTTCTTATGTTGAAATTATTTTGTTTTAGGAATGGGACCAAGAAAAAAAAATACTAATTAACTTGCACTCAAGAAGTTTTTGTTTTACGCCCAGGCACCCTTAACTACACAGCTAACCCAGCAGATGGTGCCAGTAAAATGTACTTGAGAGTGCAGACAGGTCTTTCTTTTCATCAAACGTCCTCAATGAACTTGTGTCTAATGTATAGACACCATTTAAACTTCTTACTATCGCTCATACTTAGGGATTTAACCTTGTAAAACCTGACATATGAAATATTAGTCAAAAAACTCTATTTTTAAAAATGTAGTTTATTCTATCTTTAGACAAAATAATAATAATAACAGTAAACAAAAAAGCTTGCATGTTATTTGGTGAGTATCATACTCAACAAACTCTTCATGGCTCACATAGTATGACATAGGACAATATGGCGCTCATACTCGAGGAGGAACATTTTATTCAGAGGCCCTGAATGGCGGGGAAGTCATGGCCTAATGGTTAGAGAGTCTGACTCGTAACCCAAAGGTTGCGAGTTCGAGTCTCGTACCGGCAGGGATTGTAGGTGGGGGGAGTGAATGTACACCTTCAATACCACGACTGAGGTGCCCTTGAGCAAGGCACCGAACCCCCAACTGCTCCCCAGGCACCGCAGCAAAAAATGGCTGCCCGCTGCTCCGGGTGTGTGTTCACTGCTGTGTGTGTGCACTTAGGATGGGTTAAATGCAGAGCACTAATTCCTAGTATGGGTAACCATACCTGGCCACATGTCACATCACTTTCACTTCACTTATTATTGTTTCTCCTCTATGCCTGGCCTTTCTGAAACGCGTCGATTTTTACAAAGCTCATCTGTCTGAAAAGCAAGGTGTGCAGTTTACACCTAGTTGTGCTTATTTCACGGAATTCAATGTTTGGTCTGTTTCTTGTTTTTTTTTTAAATCTATTTTCTTTTCAGTTTACGCCAAAGATGGGGGCTGGTCACGACACGCCCCATTTACACTCATTCATCTCTCATGAAGTTGCACTCTAATCCTAAAATATAAATCCTCCAATTTTCTGCAGTTTCCATACAACATCCACTTTCCGTAAACTGGTGCACAATGAACTTCTCAGTAGATTAGACCAAGGTCATCAATACAGGCCTTTAATCGTTCCTCCAAAGACCAGATGGAGTCTGGCGTCGGAGTATTTTACAGAGAGCAATAAACCATACAAAACACAGCAAGCTCACGCAATATACAGTCACTGAAGATAAAGTAGGGCAACCTAAAAGCTCCAACAGACGCTGTGAAAGTGTGAATCATGCATGATGGCCTCCGCCCTTTTTTTTCTTTTTGTCCAACATTCTTCTTAAAGGTGCAGTGAAAAAAAAAGGTAGTGCTGTGGTGAAATGAAAGGAATAATGGAATATGGTATTAGTAGGTCAGTGAATGGTTGAATGGTGCATAGTTACTTTATGTGTATGTGTGTTGTGTGTGTTATGTATGGTGTGTAAGACACCATGAACACCACACACACATACACACATGTTGGGTTCACAATATTAGAAACCATTACAAAACAATATTCTATTAAAAATGTATAATATCTAAAACTTTGCTTCTTATGTTGAAATTATTTTGTTTTAGGAATGGGACCAAGAAAAAAAAATACTAATTAACTTGCACTCAAGAAGTTTTTGTTTTACGCCCAGGCACCCTTAACTACACAGCTAACCCAGCAGATGGTGCCAGTAAAATGTACTTGAGAGTGCAGACAGGTCTTTCTTTTCATCAAACGTCCTCAATGAACTTGTGTCTAATGTATAGACACCATTTAAACTTCTTACTATCGCTCATACTTAGGGATTTAACCTTGTAAAACCTGACATATGAAATATTAGTCAAAAAACTCTATTTTTAAAAATGTAGTTTATTCTATCTTTAGACAAAATAATAATAATAACAGTAAACAAAAAAGCTTGCATGTTATTTGGTGAGTATCATACTCAACAAACTCTTCATGGCTCACATAGTATGACATAGGACAATATGGCGCTCATACTCGAGGAGGAACATTTTATTCAGAGGCCCTGAATGGCGGGGAAGTCATGGCCTAATGGTTAGAGAGTCTGACTCGTAACCCAAAGGTTGCGAGTTCGAGTCTCGTACCGGCAGGGATTGTAGGTGGGGGGAGTGAATGTACACCTTCAATACCACGACTGAGGTGCCCTTGAGCAAGGCACTGAACCCCCAACTGCTCCCCGGGCGCCGCAGCAAAAAATGGCTGCCCGCTGCTCCGGGTGTGTGTTCACTGCTGTGTGTGTGCACTTAGGATGGGTTAAATGCAGAGCACTAATTCCTAGTATGGGTAACCATACTTGGCCACATGTCACGTCACACTAATTGAGCAAAAATATGAAATTTTGTGCAGCTGCTGATATTTATAGGGCAAAAAATGTATGATGACATTCTGATAGGTTGCAAATTAGATCTTTATTGTAAAACAGACTAAATATGCAGTAAAGAACAGTAATACGGACTAAAGATATAAATATCAGTTGTGACTCTATATCTAACAATAATATGTCTTAGTAAGATGAAATTTAAATGCTTAGTTTTTTTATTATTATTATTTTTTTTTTTTATTATTTGTATTGTGGGGGGAAACATATAATGCAATGCATTATATTTAAGTTATTCTTAAAATCAAAGATTTCACAGCAAAAATACCCATGAATCACAACCTTAAGGTGAACATTTTTACAAAAGGCCTTTTACTTGCTAAAAAAGTATAAACTTACAATGGAAGTGAATGACGCACATTTTTGGAGGATTTAAAAGTACACATGTGATGCAATTAATGTTATGAAACAAATGAAATTAACAAAGCCCCTAGAAATTTCTTGCAAATTCATGAGCATGTTATGAGAAGGCAGAGGCTCAGTTCAAGATGTCCATCGGTATGCAGCAAGATTTTGTTAGCTGGATGGTCCCCTGGTGGGCATCCGTCCTCTGATTGGTGTCTTAGTGTCCAGTGGGTTTTTACAAAGGCTTAACTCAACATCTATTCATTCGCTTATGTGCTTATGCTTGGTAATGGTCTCTCCTATGAAGTGCAGGGCATTACTTTGAATCCAATCACTTATGGCTATGTCTCCGGTCTGTCTAGTGCTCCAAGATCTCTGTCTAATAATGTTGCTCATCTTTTTCAGTGGTAAGTATTTAATATCATATTCTTTAATATCCCCCCTTGATTATTAGGAGAAAATATAGAATTCTAAATATTTTACGAGGCCAAGTAAATGTTTGTTTCGCCACAAAGTTTTGCATAAGTGTTAGTACTTCTATAGTGAATGACTGTTTTTAACTTGTTAATGTTTTCTTTTACAAGCTGACTGCCACAAACTGCACCAAGATCAACGTTGCAAGTCTACTTGCCCTGGTAAGAGTATATACATGTTAATAAATATATTTTTTGCTATTCATCCATCCATATTTATATGGATATTCCACACACACACACACACACACACACACAATTATCTAAATGGCTACATAAATGCTTCTGAAGTGCTTCTGACTTACCGTATGTTTAATTAATTATGATTTTTTTTATAAGACTGTAATATATATATATATGTTTACAGCTGTGCAGAAAGGGCAAAGGCACACATATAGATACAGTACAACCATAAACAGTGCCTGGAAAGGTCCTTCATCAGGAGGCAGTCAGTTAGCTTTGGACTGTGTTGTTGACATTGATGTCCGACCAGGATGCCCAGAAATTATATTAAAGGTATGTTCTGTTCTATCAGTCATTCTATATATGTAATCATTTTGTCATTCATATTGATATAGCTTTTCTTCCTTTACAATACAACATTTTTCATAACAAGCATAATATAATTTCACCATTGAGATAAAAATTGAGGCATTTGATTCAATTTCAGATAATAGCCAGTATTCATATATGCCTATACCTAGATTTTTTTTTTTTAATCTTTGCAATCATGTTTCATTTATTCCATATTTGTTATATTTATTTGTATGTAGCTAAGGAACATACAAATAAAGCATAGCTCTTCGAAAAGAAACAATTCTGTGCTACGCTTGAAGAACATAAGGTAATTTAAGTTTCTTTTGATGTGCTACACTCACTCACACTCTTCTAACATTTTCTGTGTTTGCATCCAATTAATACAAACTAATTCCATAGTCATGTAATTTTATATCTGGTTCAAAGTGTCAGAATTAATCATGTAGTGACAAACATTTGAAATAACATAATACTTCAGTTGATGCCACATCACTATAATCACTCTATTGCTGCTGTAGAGAGTTAGTCTGTCATGAGTGTTAAGAGGTTGAAGGTCCATCTGGTGTTTTGATTTCTCAGAGAGTCATTGGAGAAGAACCCCCTGCGGTTCTGGCTCGAGGGGGGAAAGGTCACAAAGCTCTGCCCACAGGAGGCTGAGCAGGTGTGGACTCTCAACATCAAGAGGTCCATTCTGAGCATGTTCCAGACCTCGCACTCGGGACGAGCCAGGGAGACAATCAGAGAGGTGAGAGGAACTGTAACTCACTCTGCACGCTTGTTTGTACAGGCCCACTTTTATACAAAAATCATATGCTCAATTTTGAAGTGTATTTGAGGCACTGAGTTTGTAAATTTGCAAAAAGTTGACATGGTTATTTTAATAAAACAATGCAATATATGCTACCGTTCAAAAGTTTAGGGTCAATAAGAAAAAAAAAAAAAACTAATTAATGCAGCAAGGATGCATTCAGTTGATCAAAAGTGACATTTCAATTATCTAAATGGCTACATAAATGCTTCTGAAGTGCTTCTGACTTACCGTATGTTTAATTAATTATGATTTTTTTTATAAGACTGTAATATATATATATATGTTTACAGCTGTGCAGAAAGGGCAAAGGCACACATATAGATACAGTACAACCATAAACAGTGCCTGGAAAGGTCCTTCATCAGGAGGCAGTCAGTTAGCTTTGGACTGTGTTGTTGACATTGATGTCCGACCAGGATGCCCAGAAATTATATTAAAGGTATGTTCTGTTCTATCAGTCATTCTATATATGTAATCATTTTGTCATTCATATTGATATAGCTTTTCTTCCTTTACAATACAACATTTTTCATAACAAGCATAATATAATTTCACCATTGAGATAAAAATTGAGGCATTTGATTCAATTTCAGATAATAGCCAGTATTCATATATGCCTATACCTAGATTATTTTTTTTAAATCTTTGCAATCATGTTTCATTTATTCCATATTTGTTATATTTATTTGTATGTAGCTAAGGAACATACAAATAAAGCATAGCTCTTCGAAAAGAAACAATTCTGTGCTACGCTTGAAGAACATAAGGTAATTTAAGTTTCTTTTGATGTGCTACACTCACTCACACTCTTCTAACATTTTCTGTGTTTGCATCCAATTAATACAAACTAATTCCATAGTCATGTAATTTTATATCTGGTTCAAAGTGTCAGAATTAATCATGTAGTGACAAACATTTGAAATAACATAATACTTCAGTTGATGCCACATCACTATAATCACTCTATTGCTGCTGTAGAGAGTTAGTCTGTCATGAGTGTTAAGAGGTTGAAGGTCCATCTGGTGTTTTGATTTCTCAGAGAGTCATTGGAGAAGAACCCCCTGCGGTTCTGGCTCGAGGGGGGAAAGGTCACAAAGCTCTGCCCACAGGAGGCTGAGCAGGTGTGGACTCTCAACATCAAGAGGTCCATTCTGAGCATGTTCCAGACCTCGCACTCGGGACGAGCCAGGGAGACAATCAGAGAGGTGAGAGGAACTGTAACTCACTCTGCACGCTTGTTTGTACAGGCCCACTTTTATACAAAAATCATATGCTCAATTTTGAAGTGTATTTGAGGCACTGAGTTTGTAAATTTGCAAAAAGTTGACATGGTTATTTTAATAAAACAATGCAATATATGCTACCGTTCAAAAGTTTAGGGTCAATAAGATAAAAAAAAAAAAAAACTAATTAATGCAGCAAGGATGCATTCAGTTGATCAAAAGTGACATTTATATTGTTACGAAAGAATTCTATTTCAAATAAACTTTAATCAAAGAATCCTAAAAAAAAAATGTTTCCACAAAAATATTAAGCAGCACAACAGTTTTCAACTCTAATAATAATAAGAAATGTTTCTTGAGCCCCAAATCTGCAGATTAAATTGATTTCTGAAAGACCTGGAGTACTGACTGCTTAAAATTCTGCTTTGGCATCACACAAATAAATTACATTTTAGAAAACCGTTCTTTTAAATCGGACGAATAATTTACAGTATTACTACTGTATTTTTGTTCAAATAATGTAGCCTAAGTGAGCATAAGAGACTTTTTTCAAAAACATTAAAAAACAAACTATTATCATTAGTATACTCCGAATGACACTAGATTATGATTTCTCTACAGAATGATGTGTATGGGACATGTATGAGTTCTTATGAACAGAGGGGACTGTCGCTGGTGAAGAGCCGAAGCCTCCAGCAGTGCCTCAGTGACAGAATCGATCAGTTTTGGAGGCGCTCTGTCCCCCTGAAGGATGGCATGGTGGGCCCCACTTTTTCTATTCTTCACCCAACATTCACACATCTGACCCAATGTGAATTGCCTTAAGTTTGAGTTGTTTTTTATTTTGATTAGACGGTGAGTGCCGGCCTCACATGCATCCAGCTCTATGATGGAACAATGCTGAAGACGGTCAACTGTACAGAAACAGTGTCACTGGTTCCACTGCCAGGCCTCTTAGAAGTAACAGAAACTAAAACCATTTCAAGCCTGACTCTCCTGAGAACCCTTGAAGTGATTCCATCAGATTTGGGTAAGACTAAGCTTTTGATGTTGTCGATCTAGTATGATCATGTCACTCTTTTAATGCTATATTTCTACTTTAATTGAGTATAAATATTTATGTTGACTACATTTTAGACAAAAGAATTAATCTTTTTACTCAGATACACTTCTCTTGACCCTTTCGTGGATCAAATTTAATAGAGTTTTCAAACTGTGAAAAAAGTCTGCAAGAAATATAAGCTACATGCGGTTTTGTGATAGTAACATCCAATTCATGAATGAATCATTTTAGCCAACTCTTTTGATTATTCGGTTCATGTGAATCTTTCAAACTCATTCAAACAGAGATCTAAATGATTAATTTCACAAATCATCAATCTGAATCTATAATAACGTGCAATGGATCTCTATTTGGGAATCTAAAAATTATGTCCTTAATGTGATACATTTTTTTTGTTGTTGTTTAAGAATTATGAAATGATGATTAAGTTGGTGTGCAATATCTGAATAGTTATCTGGTGAATGCATACAGACACAAATCAGAAGAGTCTGGTCTCTATATGGCTCTAGATATGAAAATAATGACCAATATTTTGCTAAAGTGATTTATGCATGTACCCGCTATGAAAGAATTTTAGATTCTATGCTTTGTTCAGTTTCCATAAAAGTAGCCTCTCTTTACTTTTACTTAGAGTAAGTGTGAAAACTGGATACTTTATTCAACACTACTCTTTAAAATGATACTAGTATTTAAATGTAAAACTATAATAAAACATATAGGTGCATCTCAATAAATTAGAATGTCGTGGAAAAGTTCGTAATCATCTTCTCTGTCATTTCAGGGCAGAACGCCGGTTACTTGACCAGTATTGTGTTTGAGGCTGAAGGCCAAATCTCAGGCAGACATGGTGGACCATCAGTTCAAGAGGTTTCCAACACAGTGAGAAGGTTGTGTGCTCATCTCGCAAATCAGCAACAGGTCAGGCGCCAGCTTACAGTATTAAAGTGATTCTTTCATTCAAGATGGTAAGTTTCTCTCACTTTTCTTCATCACTCTTAGCAATCAGAGCTTCTCCTGAATCTGGTGCTCCAGTTGAGAACCTTGTCGTCCCATCAGTTGAGAGACTTGTGGCATGAGGCCTCCTTCAAATGTCGAGATGACTGGTTGGTCCTTCAAAACTTATTACATACATTAAAATAGCGTAATGCTGGAAGATGTTTACTGATGATATATACTTTATATACGTCATAGCATGCTGTAATAAAACCATGGTACATATTCCAAAAAAAACCAAACATGGTATTTGTCACACTTCTACTGTTGGAACGAGGAGCGAGGAGACGAGGAGACGCAGGAGTAACTCAACTTCACAAACTTTAATGAACAGGGTAACACACACGGAGATGACGTTTAACACAGGACGCTAGACACAGGAAACACTGGGCTTATAAACACAGGGAACGTAATCAGGGAGAACTGAAACAGGTGGAGTAATTAATCAACAACCATGGAAACTAATGAGGGAACACCTGAAATCAAAGAACACAAATCAACACGAGGGAGGAACTAGGTCACAGGGAGCATATGGGGAGAAAAACACACAAAGACAGTCATTGGGCGTGACATTTCACCTCCCTCCCTGAAGGCGCGTCCTCGCGCCACATACCAACAACAAAGGGGGTGGGAGGGCGGGCGCCTTGGAGGCCCCTCAGGACAGGCTCAAGCGGGACAGGAAGCCTACAAGGCGGTACCGGATCCGGGCACCATGGCGGATCAGGCAGCTCGGGGAGCCATGGCAGAGGAGGCAGCTCGGGGTGCCATGGCGGAGGAGGCAGACTAGGGAGCCATGGCAGAGCAGACAGTTCAGGAGGCCATGGCGGAGCAGGCAGTTCAGGGGGCCATGGCGGAGCAGACAGTTCAGAGAGCCATGGCGGAGCAGGCAGTCCAGGGGGCCATGGCGGAGCGGCCTCCGTGGCCTTGGCCTCGGCACTCGGCCCGGCGTCTATGGCCGGAGCCCTATAGCCCCCCCCCAAAAAAAAATTCCTTGGGGAAAATTTCGGATTCTGAGACCCTCCGTTGGCCAGATGTGGGAACAACGGCCCTCCCTAGGCCTGATTCGGGAACTGTGGCCCTCCCTGGGCCAGACGTGGGAACAGCAGCCCTCTCTGGGCCGGATGTGGGGACTAGAGCCCTCTCTGGGCCGGACGTGGGAACAGGAGCCCTCTCTGGGCTTGACGCTGAGCTGGTTCTGAATCAGGGCCGGACACTCTCCAGACACCGGAGGATACCTTCCCTCCAGCTCAGTCCTGTGGTGTCTGGGAGGTCCATGGGGCGAAGGTAATTGGCCCCGATCCAGAACAACGAATTAAGCGTGGCATCATCCAACGCCGTCATCACGGCGAGCCCGCAGAATTTCCGGGCTAATTCTATAAAAGGAAGATCTCTGCGGGCTAGGGCAGCGAATCTTGCGGCGGTTTCCATTTTCGCAGGAGGGGAAAAAACGGAAAACAAAACTTACAAAAAAGGAAACAAAAACGAGGAGAAGGGGCGTCGCTTACTGTTCGGTCCTGTGTTAAACGTCATCTCTGTGTGTGTTACCCTGTTCATTAAAGTTTGTGAAATTGAGTTACTCCTGCGTCTCCTCTCTCCTCGTTCCGACAATAGAAGTGTGACAGTATTGTCTAAGAAAAAAAATCACCTCATTTAATCCTCTATTTGGGACCATGAAGTTTTTGCATTGTGACACTAATTTGAATCCCTCACCCATATTTATCATTACTGTAATGCTGAAAATCTCATTATAATTAATTTATGCACTACTGTATTGTAATTTATACAATACAGTATTATATGACCCGTTTTTTTTTTTTTTTTTTTTAAGAATTAAATACAATAGAAATTCAGATGGGCTAAATTGCAATGAGAAAAATTTATTTTTATAAATGCAAATATAATTTCAAATTTTTATTTTAATAAGATGGGAGGGGAAAAAAATATTTCAATGCATTTGTGCTCACTTACAATAGTTTTGCGGTCACTCAAGAAACTTTTGTGATGGAAATAATATGAGGGGGGAGGAAAAACATATTTAGTGCTTTGTGAGTGAACTCAAAGTTTCTTTGGGGACTAAACATGTTTTTCAAGAGAACACGAAACTTCTCAAGGGAATGTAAATGTTTCGCAAGGGAATGCAAAGTTTCTCGAGGAACGCAAATGTTTTTGAGAGAACGCAATGTTTTGCAGTGGAACGCAATACTTTTGTGAGAGAATCAAAGGATTGCAATTTTTATTCAAATAAATTATACAGCAATTACAACAATTGTTTTTAATTTCTGTGTTTTTTTTACCGATGGTAATGTTGATTTTGGTGTCATGGCAGGCAGCCCCTTCTAGATACTCTGTCAGCCTGTGGAACTGAGGATTGCATCCTTGTCACTACAGACCTCATACTCAACAAAGAAGTGGACCAGGAACAAATCCTACCTCTCCTCAATACTATCAGTTTTGCTTCCCACCCTACTTCATCCATGATTAGCCACCTTAGTGTATGTTTTTGAGTTGTTCAATGACTTAATTTAAATTAATTATAATACAAAATTGAAAGTTGTCTCTTAAACAGAGTGTTACCAAGTTGATATGTGGATTTTCTTCTTCAGGCTTTGCTGCAGATACCTCTTATCCGTCCAAAAGCACTGCTGGTTGTGTCTTCACTGGTCCACGGTCTTTGTCAACAGGAACAGGGTCCATGTAACGAAATCTCTGAAGTCCAACAGTTCGTCCATGTTCTGAATCAGAGTCTTGATGCAGGATGTGAAGTGGATGATCATTTGCAGATCACAGAGGTACAGTTAGTGCTAGGTAGATTACTTACAAAATTGTAGTATGTTACTGATTACAAATTACATTAGTCAGTAATGAAATCAAGACAACTCATTTTAGGCAATGTATTCTGACTACTTTTGGATTAAGTTTAGATTACTTTTGACAACTTGTTTATAGATTTGAATGGGATTAAAAAAAAAGAGAATAAAATGTATGACCATTAACCGACATGCAAATGTGTTGTAAAATTATTGAAATAATAACTCTAAGTTTCAGGGGGACTTTAAGTATCAAATATTTTAGGTCAAAGTGGTTTGACTGACAAAAAGTTTGGAAATCCCTGCCCCTATTATGCCATTTTTAAGGTTCCTAATATTGTTTTGGGAGTCTCCTACAAGAGGTTTACATGCATACAAGGTCAAAAAATGCTTTCATTTTCTCAAAATATACATTAAATATCACCTTATTTTCCTGTGATTCTTAAACGATTTGTTCAAAGCAGTTCTAAGATTCACTCTCTCTAAACCCCGCCTTTCCGTGAGCCTACTCTTCTCTGATTGGTCAGATGGCCCAGTCTGTCGTGATCGGTCAACTGCGTACAGAGCGTGTCGGAAACGATATGCCCATTGATACAGTTTCGTATTTTGAACGCTTGATAGAAAATATTAAAGGGGTCATATGATGCGATTTTAATTTTTCCTTTCTCTTTGGAGTGTTACAAGCTCTTGGTGCATAAAGAAGATCTGTAAAGTTGCAAAGACTAAAGTCTAAAAGGCCTACTCTTCTCTGATTGGTCAGATGGCCCAGTCTGTTGTGATCGGTCAACTGCGTACAGAGCATGTCGGAAACGATATGCCCATTGATACAGTTTCGTATTTTGAACGCTTGATAGAAAATATTAAAGGGGTCATATGATGCGATTTTAATTTTTCCTTTCTTTATTTATCATACTTACAGGTTGTGATTCAGTTGAGTCAGCAGGTCCAAATAAACTGGGTACTGAGCCATCTTTCAAGAGCAAGCGTTTTGTATACCTCGCGTTGAACTCCCAGAGATTAGAGAAGCCGTCGTCAGTAAAATGACAGGAACACAAAAAAAGATTGGCATTGTACTGCTGTGCTACAGTGGAAAATTTCATTTTAACCACTGATGCTTTGCAGCCTCATCTTTTGGAAGTGAAAATAAAACGAATTTACTTTCACAGTCTAGGACAGAGCGTCTTCTCAACATGATGTTAGCCACACAAACAAGCTACAGTGTTTGAGAGCGGGGTCAAGTTGTTCGTGGCCGGCCAACGTAGAACAAAGGCGGTCATTATGCAAATGTGTTACCCACTTGACGACTCGTTTAGGCTGTTCAGAGTCGATTCTTTCTTTTGGGAGACAATAACTTTATTTATTGTGCACTTTCGGCTTTACAGCTTTGCAGATCGTTTACATTCACATGCAGCTACTTTACACACTGCATGAAAGGCAATATTTGAAATGGCATAATTGGGGGCACTTTTAAAAAAATGATTAGGGAGAATCAATAAATTATGAATAATTTACTGCCATTGTGTGAACAATTTGTAATCATGTAATCCACAAAAAAGTAACTGTAATCTGATTATGACCATTTTAAAATGTAATATAATCTAATTACAGTACTTAATTTTTGGAATCTAAAATTTTACGTATTCCAGATTACATGTAATCAGTTATTACCCAGCACTGGGTACAGTCGAAAGATGACAATGACCCCTCAGACAACAGAGGCATCCTGCAACAACTAAATTAAAGTAATATTCAAGGTTCAATACTAATTAAAACACCAATCGGCTAAATTTTTGTAACATTGATTACTACCCAAAAATTATTTTACCTCATCCCTCCATTTCAAAAATCAATGTTATGGTGCAACACTAACAGTGGAAGTGAATGGGGACCATTTTTTGCTGAGTGTAAACCAGATTTTTGCTTTTTATATAAAAAAGGACGGACAAGTAAAATTTTTTTTTTTTATAGTCAACATAATGCCACAAATACTTGAGCTTGACTCATACTGAACCTGAAATATGGCTTTAAACTGTTCTGTACCTTTTGTGCAGCTGCTGCATGTGTTGAAAGCAGTGGAGAATGCAGGAGCGGCTGCATCAGATCTCATCCCCACACTGAGCCGCTGTGTGCAGAATCAGTCTGTGCCACTGGAGCTTCGGCTGGCAGCTGTACGAGCATTCAGGAGAATCCCATGCCATCATGACGTCAGTATCACCGAACAATTTACGATACAATTAACACTGGACATGCATGTGTGTGCTGATACGTTTACATTGGTGTTATGTCTATTATGGCATGACTTATGTTCTTGCATTATGTTCTTTCTTATGTTATCAGAGGACAACTCTTGCTCGGGCATTTCAAAGCCAGCAGGAGAATGTGGAGGTCAGAATCGCAGCATATCAGCAGCTCATGCACTGTCCAAACCAGGAGATTTTCACAATTGTGAAGATGACTTTAAGCATTGAGAAGTCTATATGGCTTTAAACTGTTCTGTACCTTTTGTGCAGCTGCTGCATGTGTTGAAAGCAGTGGAGAATGCAGGAGCGGCTGCATCAGATCTCATCCCCACACTGAGCCGCTGTGTGCAGAATCAGTCTGTGCCGCTGGAGCTTCGGCTGGCAGCTGTACGAGCATTCAGGAGAATCCCATGCCATCATGACGTCAGTATCACCGAACAATTTACGATACAATTAACACTGGACATGCATGTGTGTGCTGATACGTTTACATTGATGTTATGTCTATTATGGCATGACTTATGTTCTTGCATTATGTTCTTTCTTATGTTATCAGAGGACAACTCTTGCTCGGGCATTTCAAAGCCAGCAGGAGAATGTGGAGGTCAGAATCGCAGCATATCAGCAGCTCATGCACTGTCCAAACCAGGAGATTTTCACAATTGTGAAGACGACTTTAAGCATTGAGAAGTCTAGTCAAGGTATTGAGTTATTGAATATTATTTATTATGACTAACTCAAATTTGCTACATTACTTCAACATGGCCAGAGAAAGTTTGAAAATCAAATGCTTTTGATATGGATAGATAAATATTCAATGGGTAAATTCTGGTAGAATTACTTTTCTTACATATATATTATATCTGAAATAAAAAACAAAAACCTGTTTAGTATCAAGCCTTCAAAATTGGGTTGAGGTTTGAAAGTCCATATTTAAGTTGTTAATTAAAATATGGCCTTTGTCAGACTGTTTTGTGTTTTTTTGCTCCCCACGTACTCCATGTCCTGGTTTTCCCATGTGTTTTCTTATGCCCTTATTTGGTCCTTCCTGTTTCCTGTTCCCATTATGTTCCCTGATTAGTTTCATCAGTTCCAGGTGTTTCTCGTCATTCCCTCGTCATGTCATGTGTATTTAAAGTGTTCCCTGTTCTTAGTTTGGTCGTCCGGTATTGTTTATGTCAACCTCCTCAGTTACGTGTGTTTTCCTGGTTCCCTTGATGTTATTAAAATCTACTTGTTGATGTACTCCTCGTCTCCTCGTTCCGCGCTCCCTCACAGTAGCGAATGTGACAGCCTTAAAAAGAGCTTAATATAAATATAATGAAACAAAAATGTATCCAAAAAAGCATAAAGTGCCAGCGTTTACGGTGAAACCATGATACTTTTATTTTAAATAAAATAAAAATTGAGTTAGATTTTTTTAGTCTAAATAACCTATTAATTTTTTTTTTTATAAATTAGCAAAACAATTATAGCTACATCAGTAGTAAGTCACACATGGAGCACAAATGGCACCATTTCCTTAGAATGAGCCAAATATGTTCTGCATGGAAGAGGTTGCATATTTTCAGCTTTCATATTTCTAACACTCTTCAGCTGTAAAATGAGACACATTTTTATACATTCTCTATGATATCTCCTCAGTTGGGTCGTTTGTTTGGAGTCACCTTTTCAATATCCAGAAAACAGAAGATCCTCTGAAAAAAGACCTGATGGAGTCACTGCCAGATGATATCATAAGTAAAGACTTTGAAGCTGAACCATGGAAATATTCCTCACATATGGACTACACAGTGGACACAGGTACTACACATAATATAACATTTCCATCTGTTTCCAATAATGCTCTATTTGTAACACTTTGGTTTTCCCTCATTTGCAATGTGTGGATTGTATGTCTGCTCCAGGAGTGGCTGCTGCTAACATCGAGGGAGCTTTAGTTTTCTCCCCTGAATCTTTTGTTCCACGTTATGCTATGGCAAATCTGACAGTTCACGTCCTAGGCAGAGCATTCAATCTTCTGGAGGTGAAAATCCAATTTGTTCAACATCTGTTTGTATTTTTCAAAAAACTAATCTAAATTGAAACTATTTACTGTTTACTGTACTGTTCCTAGTCTTATTGTTCATCAGTGAACTTTATTCCAATAAAAATAAGTTTGTCTTCATAATCTTTCATCATATTGTAATTACTTGCATTACATCTGAAATTCTTTTTTTGTTCGAGTACAACTAGGTGAGGGGTTTCAAACTGTAGTCCAGAAACACGCATATTTCCATGAGGGGTCTGTAGAAAAATAGAAAATAACTAATAATAATTTACAAGACCAAATATATTAAAAGATCCAAATATTATTTAAAAATACATATTTGCTTATTTGAATGCATATTTAAAACAATTATATTTGTCACCATATAAATGAGGTTTTAAACATGGAAAATATTTATAGCTGCCTTTAATTTAAAAATTGGTCCCTTGTAAGGGGATAATCATGTTAATCATGGGCATCAAAAACTGGAACCAAATGTTTGAAGACCCCTAAATTTAGGCTGTGCAGGCATATAGTTAATGGTAGCCAAAACACAAATAGCTATTGTAATATCTGACCCTGGACCACAAAACCAGTCATAAGGATAAATTTTTCAAATCTGAATTTTTTTTGGAATCTGAGGGTGCAAAAAAATCTAAATATTGAGAAAATCGCCTTTAAAGTTGTCCAAATGAATTTCTTAACAATGCATATTACTAATCAAAAATTAAGTTTTGATATATTTACAGTAGGAAATTTGCAAAATATCTTAATGGAACACGATCTTTACTTAATGTCCTAATGATTTTTGGCATAAAAAAAAAATCAATAATTTTGACCCATACAATGTATTTTTGGCTATTGCTACAAGACTGGTTTTGTGGTCCAGGGTCACATATTGTTTTTTTGTTTGTTTTTTTGAGTCAGTAATGTAGCCTTTCCCATATAATGCCAATAACCAAAAGATCAAATCTGGTCTTTTTCTGTATTTTTCTTTTTTCTTTCTTTCTTTTTTAAACTTTTTATTATTTTTTTTTTTTAAGTCAAAAATATATACCATTACAGAAGTTAAATTAGTACCCCTAACCACTTGTCTAGGCCATGTGAGAAATTGGTTAATGTTATCCAAAAATAAAACAAGAAAAACATATAGCTATTTAGCTATTTTAGTTTTTAAGTAGCATATATTTTTGTTCAATGATAGTAATTATTTTCATCGATTATTTAGATTAGCCTAAGAATGGAAAACCTAGAGCCTGTTCTGAAGAAAATCTTTGAGGAGCATCCTCTAGCATCAGCTGAACACTCCAGACCTAAGGGTCGAACAGACTCTATGAGACATGAACAGAAAGGACGAAACAGAGACGAGGAACAAGGAGGCAGTGATGGCTGTCAGTCCACAGGTTTGAGTTCCATCAAGACTAAGGTGAGAGTCTTGCAGATTGTGGGTTTGTGTCTGTTATTTGGTTCCACATCCGGCACGACCAATATTTCTGTTTAAGTTCACAGAGCAGAGGAAAAGAGATAGTAGGTTCCGATGTTGGATGAATGTGAAAATGTTCGGCAACGACCTCACCTTTATGACCTGTGATGATCTCTATGCATATCAGAGAAAGCTGTCACTGAGTACAGCTGGTGTTGTTGTCAAGTTGTTAAAGGTAAGAAATTCTTTCTCAAGCTGTTACTTAAAGGAGCATTCTGGGTTTAATCCTCACTTTGGTCACCATTTAAGGTCAAATTCTCACTATTAACTATGACTTTTGCCTCAATAAACTCTTATTAATAGTTAGGAAGGTAGCTGTTAAGTTTAGGTATGGGGTTGGATTAAGGGATCTAAAATATAAATAAGGCATTAATATGTGCCTATAAGTACTAATAATCAGCCAATATGCTAGCAATATGCATGCTAATAAGCGACTAGTGAGAATTGGTCCCTAAAATGAAGTTTTACCCTTACTTTTTTAATATTATAGCTACAATATGTGAACAGTATGCATGTAAACATGATTTAAGTTTAAACACTTAATAACCTTGTCTGTGTAAAGGTACAACCAATTTTATAACTTCAGCGTCATGATAATATAATACCTAAAACCCCAAAGTGACTAAAAATGATTTACAACTCAAATACAACACAAGTTTAAACAAAAGAATAAATGTAAGTGCTTTCACAGAATGATAAGCTTCACATTTCTGCTTTTAAATCAATAAACCTTGATGTTTGCTTTTTTTCTAAGGAGATAATGTGATATAATGTGGTTAATAACATTATGCCTTAAATGCTGTCGAATGAGCGAAATAAGCTGATTTAATAATTGTCACCTTATCATATAAGCCAACATTTTAATATTGGTACGTCTGTAGTATATTTTGTTGTAAATACTGTAATAATTTTAATTTATTTCCTTTTCCCAGGGTCAAGAGATTAAAATCAGTCATAGGCCTATTGTTCTGGCAGAGGAGCTGGTTTTGCCATCTCTCTCTGGATTACCCATGAGGCTAAGCATCAACATGTCCACTTTGTTCTCCCTCAGAATTAAAGGCATTGCTAACTATAAGAATTGGTCACATTTCTCACTGGCTGGCTATGCCAAACCAAAGTATGTCTCATGAAGTTTTGAAAATGGCAGTGTGCTGTCAGGTTGAAGTTATGATGGCAAGTCAACTCCTGTTTCTCCTTTTGCACAGTGCGTTGGTTGCTATCTCCGTGAGAGCTGGAGTGGATGGAGCGTTTGGTCGTGTGGGATTAGAGTGGGTCACTCAACTCAAAACCTTCACCAGCTTGGATGGAGCTGTATATCTGCATCATGGACAGAGCCTGAAGGTGGTTCTCAATACTCCAGAAGATGTCATGGATGTACTGACCTTCAAGTATGAAACATATTTACATTATCTTTTGAATATATGAATTAATTTTCATATATATATATATATATATATATATATATATAGTATATTAGTGCTGTCAAATTTTGTCTTTAACATTTTGTATTTTAAGGGGAATTTTCGGTACTAAAGGTTTACTAAATATTTCCTCTAAATTATGCTCCATGGTGTAACCACTACATGGCTGTAAAGCCCTATATTTAAATCTATAAACAGGGCTGTGTATTCCCTAGTTGCTGGTAACATTGTTTCCAAACATAATTACTTGTAGGTCAAATAATGTCATATTTGCATTAAAAATGACATAACTGAGCGAATGACACTTAATGACAGTTGTCATAAACATGCATAAAACCTCCTTCATATTCATGACATGTGTCATGTCATGATTATGAAGGTGTCATGTCAGTCTTATGCACACCCCTTCAAGTAAAGTGTTACCGAAGACCCTAACAACTGTTATGTCAAGTTTTTACTTTTTATGACAAAGCAAGGTTAGTTTGGGTTGTAAAATGTCATGTGGTGCGACTCCCTAAAAACTTGAATCTACTTATGAATTTAAGAATATTTATTCGTGAAATTTGTAAAAAAAAATAAATGAAAAAAATTGTTTACATTTTGAAAATAATGATTACGATGTGTACACTTACATGTATTTAATGTGTAACAACATGTTATTACTTACATGATGGTTGCACCACAGAACATTTTAGTGTCATTCAATTTTATTCTTAAAAGACATATAAAAGCTTTCAAAACCATATGAAACCAACTTTAATACAAAGAATACATTGGCACATGTTTTAAACTACATATTCTTAAAGATTTTTCCTTTTCTTAATTGTAGACACTTTTATTTGTCACTGACCTATAAACAGTTGTTTTATCTTGACTCTAAAATCGCTTGATCGTCTACTCGAAACAGCTCCAGAATGTATCGTGTGAGTGGGGAAAGTAAAGAGGAGCTCATAGCTACAAGAAATCTCAAGGAGAAGAACACTTGCACTCCTAAAGCATGTGAGTGTATTTAAAACAACAAAAGTTATATGTTTCTTAACATTTTTCTTTGTGGAAAGACATAAAAGGTGTATTTGGCGTATTTGACATATTTGAATGGTTATTTTGTCAGGGTCTAAGATGGTTGGATGGCAGTTATGCTCTGATATCATTTATCCTTTGACACTGATGGGAAAAGGTTTCCCACCACTGGACCCCGTTCTTTTTACTGTCAGACTCCAAAAACTAGACACTGGTCTCAACCAGTACCTCTTGGAGGCAGCCTATACTTTTGTACCCCAGGTAGGGAAGATATCTGACATCTGTCCATTCAAGTTAAGAAGGTCAAAATAAACTCCTCATTAAATTGTTCTTTCTGTGCTTCTTGTGGATCTTTGACAGCGTAATTCCTGGATGCCACTGGAAGCCACTCTGCTTCTCTTTCTTGGCACACCGCAATCCACTATCCCCAGAGATGTGTCCCTGGATGTCAATCTCAGTCCAAAAAGGCTGATTCTGAAAATAACACATCCCCTAAAAACCATTCACATTCAAGGTTTCAAAACCACTTCAAAAAATGGATTTCCTAATGAATATTTCAAGGCTGATTTCAAACTAGAACACAAAACAACTGTACTTACATAACTTTGTTTCTTAGAATGTTTAGGATATTTTCCCATCTTTTTTTATCACAGCGCAGCTTGAAGAATTAAACAACCAACATTCAGGCAGAATCGAACTACTGATAGACAACATCCACCATTATTTTATCAAGGTAAGTGAGAGGAACATTTGCTTTTATCAATTTCAAAGTCTCATTAAAAGCTGTTATGCTGATTTATTCAAGAATCTTGTCTTAATCAAGAACATGTTTCATTAAATCATTCACCATTGTGCCCAAGGGACTACTGGAGACAGTGAATCTTGCTTCAGAGACGAGAGCCCACTTTCATCTTGATGCCAAAGTAGTAGCAGATGGGCATCCATTCTCCCTCTCAGTCAACACCACACATGCTCGCAGCAGGAAGTTCATAATACAGGCCTTGCTTAAAAATGTCTTCAATAAGGACGCATCGTTCTCAGGCAAGAATTTGTTAATACTTTTTAACGGTTCCATAAGTGTTTGTTTCATTCACTTTCTCATTTTTCATTCATTAGGGATTTCAAAAGATTCGTCAATGTAGGGTTCTTAGATGTTAACCAAACCGACTAGCTCTGAGATGATTCACAACATTACAAACTTTGAATTTGAAGGAATAAAGCATATGATCTGAGCTAATCATCCTACAATGCATTGTAAATGACGTAATTGAATTTATTCAACAGTTCTTTCTGGTCCTCGAATTTGATTGGCTGAGAGCCTTTTCCATCCGTGTGATATTTTAGTGATAACAGAACTCCAACCGTTCCACCGTTTGTATCACTTGCTTTGCAGTATTTCTCACAGCGAGTGTCATAGCGGACGCCCAATTCCACTATAATGTTTATAAATAATACTGTTTTTGTGTCACGGAATGTAGTTGTAAGAGTTTGTAGCTGAGAATGTAGTTGTTTAAAATTCAAATAGTGGTTTGTTAATAAAGATAACATCTAGGTATTTAAAAATTTGCTTCGACGTTTTCGGAGATGTGAGCTCCAGGGCGTCAGCAGCCGTTCAGCGCTGCCTTTGTACTTTTGACCTAAATTGCCTAGCAACTTTTTTGATGGCTGTTGTTGTTTATTAACACTTGCTTGCAGTATGTATCACAGCGAGTGTCATAGCGGACGCCCAATTCCACTATAATGTTTATAAATAATACTGTTTTTGTGTCACGGAATGTAGTTGTAAGAGTTTGTAGCTGAGAATGTAGTTGTTTAAAATTCAAATAGTGGTTTGTTAATAAAGATAACATCTAGGTATTTAAAAATTTGCTTCGACGTTTTCGGAGATGTGAGCTCCAGGGCGTCAGCAGCCGTTCAGCGCTGCCTTTGTACTTTTGACCTAAATTGCCTAGCAACTTTTTTGATGGCTGTTGTTGTTTATTAAATACTTTTATTCAATAAATAATATTTTATATAATTAATAGTAGTAATTATAATAGTATTTAGTATTGAGAAACGGCGTGCGTGTTTGCGAAGGTGAATTTAGTTACATTATTCCGCCATTAAGGCCCCGATATACTCAAAACGAAGTTCTTTTTCGTTCTTCATTTAGGGGTAAAATGAAGTTCGAAATACGTGAGCAGCGGTATACTGTTATCGAACATCCCGACGCCGCCGCCCACTCTGATGAAAGCGACGTTTAAATGAATATGTAAATATGTGCTGCACGCTTTCCTCTCAGTAACAAAAGAAACATAACAAAAATGGAGAAAACAGCAAGCATTTTTTATAAAAAAAGCATCTGTTCATAGCAACATGGGTATTGCACAAGCTCTGCAAATTAGCACTCCCGTGAAGTCACGTCACGTGTATTTACATGGCACTTTATTCAATATATAGCTTAAAAGCAAGCAGCAGTATTAAACATGAAAAACAGTGTCAGTGTCTCATTTCATCAAAAGCAAAACTTAATTTGCTATTATAAAGCTACTTGCTATTTGCTATTATAAAGCTACGTTCATGTTTTTACCCGCGGACATCTCACCTCCAAGCACCGCTGCTTGTGTGATATTGCTCATTTGTACAACATAAAATGACTGATATTTATTAAGTGATTACACAGCCCTGCATCTTGAAAAATAATATTGCATTTGATGATGCTGAATTAAAAAAAAAATCAATACATCGCATACAGTTTTTTTCCACAAAATATCATAATATAATTTTTCACAAAAATTCGAAAAAGGTTTTTCAAAATTTTTCAAATTGTATTTGTGTTAGCTTCAGTGCTTCAGTTTGACTATTAAACATAATTTCAAAAAAAAAAAAAGAAGAAGTTGAAATCGCTAATTTGTTTCCTCCAAAAAAAGCATTTTTCATCACTTGAAAATGAAGGTTGTGGTAGATTAAAAGATTTTCATCTTAAAACTCAATGTCTCTTTAGACAAAAAGAATGGGATTTTTATTTCCAGAACTGTAAAGTTGTGCTCTATAGTTGTTATATAGTTGTGATTTGCGGCCAGCTCTTTTTGTTCTGCTTCACTTCACAGTGCAGCTGGAGAGAAGTCTGGATGATAGCCAGAGACTTTATTCTATAGATGCCGGGTTTCTTTTGCCGAGTGCTGTCAGCATCAGAGCTCTTGGGTTACTGAAGCAAAGGGGCCCAGAGTGGAGCTCTGCTGTGAGGGTCAGGTATGGTGTACAAGGTAAGTGATTTCAACAAATAGCAGAAAACTTTTAAGACAACAACACAACAGACTCCTCATTCACTTATTTATTTTCCAGAGGATTCACAGAACATGCAGGAGTGTCACATGACGCAGAAGCTCCACAGCGAGTCTGAACCAGTCCAGATGTACCGTATAACAGCAGCACATGAACTCCACTGTTCCCATGTCATCAACCTAAACCACAAGGTCAAATTTATTGTCTCGCAAATAGAAATGTACTCTTTGGTTTCACAGGTTTAAAAAGCTTTCTGCAATTAATTCTAGTACGGATTCCCTTTTGGTTTCTTGCAATGCAATGCATATAATACAGTTCATGATAACAGATATGGCAACCTTCTGATTAGTGGATTGTTTCCACCAATAGATTCACCTTAAACATGAACGGAGCCCAATCCACGTCCAGTCATCTCTTGATGTAAGCTATGGAAAGCAGTGGAACCAGAGCAGCAACAAACACAGGGTCCTCTTCAATCAGTCCCTCAGAAACCAGTCTGAACCCGGCCTCACCAGTTATGCTGTGGAGGTTTTGCTTTAGTAAAACATTCAGATTGAATCTCGACTGTGTACATCAAATGTGTTCTCATTGTCAGATGTTCAGGCTGTGGTCTTGATTATGATTATGTCCCGTAATAATGTATACTGCCTCTTCCAGCTCAGCCTGCGACTTCTAGACCGAGGACTGAATTACAGAACTCAGCTTCTGCACTCTTATTTCAAGAAACACAAATCTGAGAGCAGCACCCACCTGAAAATCAACTACAACAATCAGATGCCTCTGGTAGCTGGCATCCACTGGAAGGACGTGTCAACAAAGACCTCCCTTCAAAAGTGGGAAGGTGTGTAAGTATATATTCCCTTGATGGTCACCAACCAGAATCCTTCATCCATTTGTGAAATTGTAGATTTTAGCGATCTAGACAATATAATGGTACCATATCTATTACCTACCAATATTACCAATTTTTTTATTGATCATATTGGTAGACATTGGATTTTTAACTGTGCATGTTCATTTCCATTGTTTTTTTTGTTTTTTTACATGTACAGTCATCTAAAGCTCACCTAAAGTTAATCTAGTTAATCTAAATACTAATATTGAATAACACTTTTAAATGTAGTCTTTAGGAAATCTCAAAATATCCATATAATAATGTACATTATAATTTAGTAATGCTTAAATTCACTTGTAACATTTAAAGTGACTGAAAATAGTTTTTAGTGTTTTAGTTTTGCTTTATTTAGACCAGTGATTCTCAACCAGTGGGCTGGGGGCCCAATAGGGGACCTCAGCAAACTTCCAAGGGGGCGCAGGGTGACTATTTAAAACAATATTATTAATATATTAAACTATAACACAAAATCAATATCAAAACTTGAATCATATTTATTTTTCCCCTCTCAATAACATTTTTTTTTATTGAAGAACATACAGTTCCTGAAATATGTGGAATGACATTTAAAACAAACAAAAAAATCATGGTAAATCAATTTCTGTTAATAAAGTTTGAAAACAAGCAGCTTTGTCATAATTACAGCAGGAATACCAGATATACCTCAGCCTATATGGGGTGGGGGGCTTTGATTTGAACAAAACAGTACTGAATTTAGTGTCTGCCATTTATCAGTTATTAGCTATAATCTAATAATAATTATCTTGCTTGTTGTCCTGAATTTGATAGCAGTGCACTCTATAGGTTTCGTTGGAAATGGCCCATTTGAGGGAGTGCCATGAATTTATACAGTTCATGTTAATATTCTAGTTCATGTAAAACTATGCTTGCCATTCATTATGTCCACAGGTTCATTTAACATGGATACCCCCTGGCTCTATGTGTACATAGCTCAAAAACTAACTCAGCCCCAGCGTGGCATCACGCAGTTCAGCTCTGAGGTCACCACACGGAAACTGGTGAACATGCGAAGTGTTAAGCTAGAGGGTTTCTACAAGCATAGAGGAAAAGAACGACAAGGCCAGCTGCACCTTTTCACACCGACTGCCAGTTATATTAAGGTGTGCGTACTTTCTATCACTTCTCACTCAGAGTTTTTGAGTATTTCTCTCAGAAATGTTCATATGGTCTTTCTGGAGGAACTTCAGGATAAGTGCTGATCTTGGTGTTGTTGAAGGTTGGTGGATGGAACATGCTGGGCAAGCGTGGAATTAAAGCTTCATGCTCCATCAGCACAGCCTGGACACCAGCTTTGCACGGGCAAATATCTGTAGTCAGTGGCAAGCAAGTGAAGACTCTGGAAATAAGTGCAGGCTATGGCAAGCAGGACCTCAATATTTCTGCGGTTCTCAGTACTCTGGATAAGGTACCAGAAAATTAGTTGTCCAAAATGTGTACTAGTCCGAATCTTTACATGTTTGTATGAATGTTAGCCATTCTGGACTGTATTGTTTTTTTTTCTGTCTAAGCAGAAGCTAAAGAAGAGGCTTTTGATGATGGCAATGACCCTGTCGGATCTAAAAAACCCTTATGCGGAGCTACAGATGGAGGGTGCCATAGAAGAGATACGGAAGGAAAAGAAAATTTATCAGAAAAGATGGAAGCTAAACTTCAGGTCTGTCTGGAATATGAAAAGGACGAAGTAATGATAATGATGACAGCAGTAGGAACATATCACTGACTTTATCCACAGTGCTGTATTACTCTATACCCACAAGTGTATTTAGTTATGTTTGCTTCTTCCAACAGACAACCATTCACGTTTCTCCCTCAAAGTCTCATCCTCCAGGAGACATTCACAAGTCATCTACATCAGAAGGTTTATACTTTAGAGTCAAAGGTTCTTGTCCATGGAAACAAAAAGGTCATTCATGTCCTTACTCTGGGTTTCCAGCCACAGCAGCCATACGTGAGTCTGAAATTTATCGACACACTGTGTAATGATTGTGTTCATAGGCTATATTACAGTATATAGACTGTAATGGTAGAGTCACCCAAGTCTTTTATCCAAGAATTAAACTTACGTCAGTTAATCAGAGTATGTGAACTCACTGGCAAGCTTTGTTAATTGAAATTTAATGTAAATGTTAGGGCCATACGCGCAATGCTTAAATGTATTTTTACACAACAGTTCAATAAACAATGTTATAAAAGTACGCATTGACATTTTAGACACAATATTGCCATTTGCTTTGGTCTATTTTTGAAAATAATTCCAAACAAAACCAAACCAGAATCAAAACACAGTAGTAGTGTTCCTGAACGACTCAGTTGTTTGAATGGTTGAGTGAGTGATTCAATGACTCACTCATAAATACAATCACTTTTCTTTGCTGAACATATCAGGACTGTTTGAATGAATTAGCTGAGTGAATTATTCAGTGACTCGCTCATAAAGATGGTCGCTTGTTTCGTTCCTGAATTAATCAGTGTTGTTTAAACAAAGAAAGACAGTGGTACCCAAACATGAAAATTAGCAAAAATTAATCTGCACTGAGCTTGTCCAATTTCATTATGTAATGCAAGTGTCACGCCATGGACTTTTCTGTGTGTTTTGTTCAGTTTCCTACGTGTCCCGTGTGCCTTTAGATCTAGTTTTCCCTTGTGTTTTCCTATTCCCATATTTGGTCTTACTGTTCCTGCTCCCTGATTGTTTCCAATTTGATTCCAGGTGTGTCTCGTCTTCCCCTGATTAAGTTGTGTACTTAAGGAGTGTTTTGTTCAGAGTTCTTTGTTTGGTATTGAATCGTCATTCCCTGTGTCCTACGTGTAGTTTCCGTTGTGTAAATAAATTCTGTTATTATTCTGGATTCTCCTACGTATCCTCGCTCCGACACAGTAGGCACAGCGTGACAGCAAGACAATGTTTTTGGAGAAGAAAGCATTATGTGTTCTGTTGTAGATTCATTACATAATGCTAATCTTTACATCAGATAAACCAATGTGTGACCACCAACAGTTGCCATTCACTGTACTGCATTAATAGAAAGTTAGTTAATATAAAGAGTTTTAATATAAGTATTTTTTCCAAAATTCATTTTCATTTTTCGTATTTTGTGTTGTGTCTGTGGGGGTGGAAACCTTTTATGACGTAGCCTTGCAGACTTACTAGACTGTCTCATTCTAGCATTCAATGCTGAGGAGGTCTCTAGCTTAGACGCTTCAGAAGGACTGGTCTAGGAAGTACGTAGCCGCACAAGGATGCAGCCTTCCAACTGAGAAGCGTCTCTTGTTTCGTTTCTGAATGAATCAGTGTTTTTGAACAAATCGGTTGAATGAATGATCCAGTGACACACTCATAAAACCGAACAAAGCTAATTGTTATGTAATGTGGTTTATTTGTTAGGTGTGCTCCTCAATAGTCCAGTCTTTCAGCGCTGAGAGAATTCCCCAAGACTCAAAGATCTGTGTTACTGTCCAAAACCACCAGGTAAACTAGCAGATATATTTTATGGATCTCAGAGCAGTGCCACATTACTCTTACCTAGTGTACAGCTAGTGTCATTTTAAATCTTTTATAGGATCGTCATTTTAAAATGAGTTCACATTTTGTCTTTGTTCCTGTCAATGTGCTTTCGTAACCTGTCTGTGAAGACTGCTTATGAAATTCAGGGCAGGTTGTGGACTGGAAATGATGAAATACTTGCAGCCTTTGGTCAAGTACAACTTCATGACCTAACTACATCTCAGCAAGGTATTACAATGAAAGCCAACCTGTCCCAGCTGTTTCAGGTAAACGATGACTTTATTTTTATTTTTACTTGCCTCTTTACTTTATCCCCATTTGAAATACCTGTTTACAGTTTGCCTGTAAACAGTACACTGCTGTGAAAAAGTGTTTGCCCCCCGTCTGATCTTTACACTGAAGGTCATTGGATCTTCAACCAAAACATGAATCTATAAAAGTGACCCGTCATGAACAAAAACACAACTAGATGCATCTTTCATGTATTTATTATTCAAATAGTCAAATTCAGATAATAGACAAGTAATTTTTCACATCATTGTTGTGTTGTACCTTTACCGTTTTTAGTAGAATTAAATTAAGAGTCTTTTTTCAGCTGGATTTCCCGACCTCTGTCAGCCTAGATATTGAGGTGCTCAGGAGTCACAGGAACAACAGCGAGTTTGAATATCATTCTGAAGGGAACGTTGCCATTGACGACAAGATTTACCATGTAAATGCCCTTTAAAAGTGACATTTTGCGAGTAATTAATTGCATATTTCTTAGTTCTAGGTTCTGTCAATGATGGTATAAGCTGATATTGAGTGTTTTTCTTATTTTTCATGACATTCCAGGCTAATGCAGCAATAACAGTATCCCCTTTTGGAAACATCAGCAGTTCTATCAGCCTGAAGGCAAATGAAAAAAATGCAACACTTCACTTTACTCTAGACAACAAGGTGGCAAAGGGCATTGATACTGTGTGCGTCCATGCTGGCTTTCGTCAGACTTTATTCCCAGGGGTCACTTCTGACGGGCGTATTCATTTAGCTGCTAATTCTTCTTCAGAAAGGTAAACTGATAACAGCAGTTCTATCTTAGTGTGGGATGACATATTCACTGTGCTGCATCATCATTTATATTTATATTACTACCCATAATTTCTTTACAACATCTATCTTTTTCCTTTTTCTCCAGTGTTTTCTTGCAGTGTACAGTTAGAAAGGAAGAGGAGACGTTTAATGCTCACTTGAGTGGAACTCTACCAGATGATCAAGAGTGGCGACTATCTCTTTCAGCAGATATTTTCAATTCAATACAAGATCTCGCTGCTTTACCTAATTCAGCTAGTTTAGTTGGAGTACTAACCCAGTCAAAGGGTCTAACTGAAGGTAAATCCAAGAGCAATGTGCTGATGCATTTACTCATTGTGCAAATTCAAAATTTTCAGAAAGTTCAATATCTTTCAGGGAGGTCGACTTCCGATTACTTAAAGGGGTCATATGATGCTGCTAAAAAGAACATTATTTTGTGTATTTGGTGTAATGAAATGTGTTTATGCGGTTTAAAGTTTAAAAAACACATTATTTTCCACATACTGTACATTGTTTCTCCTCTATGCCCCGCCTTTTTGAAACGCGTCGATTTTTACAAAAC